TGCCCTGGTGTCCCGTTGCGGCGCCAGCGTGGAGGCCGGCGGCTCGGTGCACTTCGATGGCGAGACCATCGAGGGCGCGCCGCCGCTGTGGGCCGCCTCGGCCGCGGGCCACCTGGACGTGGTGCGGAGCCTGCTGCGCCGCGGGGCCTCGGTGAACCGCACCACGCGCACCAACTCCACGCCCCTGCGCGCCGCCTGCTTCGACGGCCACCTCGAGGTGGTGCGCTACCTGGTGGGCGAGCACCAGGCCGACCTGGAGGTGGCCAACCGGCACGGGCACACGTGCCTCATGATCTCGTGTTACAAGGGCCACCGGGAGATCGCCCGCTACCTGCTGGAGCAGGGCGCGCAGGTGAACCGGCGCAGCGCCAAAGGCAACACTGCCCTGCACGACTGCGCCGAGTCTGGCAGCCTGGAGATCCTGCAGCTGCTGCTCGGGTGCAACGCCCGCATGGAACGCGACGGGTATGGCATGACCCCGCTGCTGGCAGCCAGCGTGACTGGCCACACCAACATCGTGGAGTACCTCATCCAGGAGCAGCCTGCCCAGGAGCAGGCCACAGGGGCAGAAGCCCAGCCAGGGCTGTCCCAAGAGGCTGCCTCCACCAGCCAGGGCTGTGGGCAGCCCCAGGGGGGCCGTTGCAGCCGCTCCTCCCTGGAGGAACCACCCAGTGGGGAATCTTACGAGAGCTGCTGCCCTACCAGCCGGGAAGCAGCTGTGGAAGCCTTGGAATTGCTGGGAGCTACGTATGTGGATAAGAAGCGAGATCTGCTTGGAGCCCTTAAACACTGGAGGCGGGCCATGGAGCTGCGTCACCAGGGGGGTGAATACCTGCCCAAGCCCGAGCCCCAGCATCTAGTCCTGGCCTACGACTATTCCAGAGAGGTGAGCACCGCCGAGGAGCTGGAAGCGCTCATAAGCGATCCCGATGAGATGCGGATGCAGGCCCTGTTGATCCGGGAGCGTATCCTGGGCCCCTCCCACCCGGACACCTCCTATTACATCCGCTACCGCGGCGCAGTGTACGCCGACTCCGGCAATTTCGAGCGCTGCATCCGTTTGTGGAAATACGCCCTGGACATGCAGCAGAACAACCTGGAGCCCCTGAGCCCCATGACCGCCAGCAGCTTCCTCTCTTTTGCCGAACTCTTCTCTTATGTGCTGCAGGACCGGGCAGCCAAGGGCAGCCTGGGCACACAGATCGGCTTTGCAGACCTCATGGGGGTGCTCAGCAAAGGGGTCCGGGAAGTGGAGCGGGCCCTGCAGCTGCCCAAGGAACCTGGGGACTCGGCCCAGTTCACCAAGGCCCTGGCCATCATCCTCCACCTGCTCTACCTGCTGGAGAAGGTGGAGTGCACCCCCAGCCAGGAGCACCTGATGCACCAGACGGTGTACCGCCTGCTCAAGTGTGCTCCCCGGGGCAAGAACGGCTTCACCCCTTTGCACATGGCTGTGGACAAGGAGACCACCAACGTGGGCCGCTACCCAGTGGGCAGATTCCCCTCCCTCCACGTGGTCAAAGTGCTGCTCGACTGCGGGGCTGACCCGGACAGCAGGGACTTCGACAACAACACGCCGCTGCACATCGCGGCCCAGAACAACTGCCCGGTCATCATGAACGCCCTGATCGAGGCGGGCGCCCACATGGACGCCACCAACGCCTTCAAGAAGACAGCCTACGAGTTACTGGATGAAAAGCTGCTGGCCAAGAGCACCATGCAGCCCTTCAACTACGTGACCCTGCAGTGCCTTGCGGCCCGGGCTCTGGACAAGAACAAGATCCCCTACAAGGGCTTCATCCCTGAAGAGCTGGAGGCTTTCATCGAGCTGCACTGACCTGCTCGGAGTGTTCACACCCTCGGCCTCCGTCCCGTTCTGCAGGGGGAGAAACCAGAGGGTGTATGGCCGGTACCCGTCCTCGCCTCCTCTGAACAGGCACGACGCAGAGCAGGAGTCTGAGCTGTCTGTGCCAGAAGCCAGAGGATGGTGTTCCGCTGGGAGCCGCCCACCCGCCCGACCCGGGAGAAGCACACAGGCCTTCCTCCTTCGTGTCTGCCCGAGTTTCAGAGCTAGTCTTTTCTGCAGGACACACAGGAAGACGTGAGGGGTTAGCCCCCGTCCCCCTGCGCTTCCCGGGGCCGGGTCCACCCAACAGCAGACACGGTGGTAGGAAGGGGCTCAGACGTCAGAGGGCGAGGCCGCCTCTGCTTCCTTCCAGCAACGCCGCGTGCTCGCAGGCTGGCAGGCGAGGGGGCCCCGGGGGGGCCGCC